CCCCAAAACCCCAAAACCCCAAAACCCCAAAACCCCTCTAAGCCTAAATCTAGTTGTTAAATTCCAGTAAAAATTAAAATATTAAACTCTATAACGACAAAGATGCCCGTTGACTTGCCATCACCAATTGATTCACAAATCGTTATTGAAACATACACTGACTCTACAGGAACTGAGTGTCAGAAGAGGTACAGGAAAGGAAATTTTTTGGGAAAAGGAGGTTTCGCTAAATGCTATGAGCTCACTGATCTTGAAAGTAACATTAAATATGCTGCAAAATGGATCACTAAGGCTTCACTCAGCAAACCTCGTGCCAAGCAGAAGCTTAAGAGTGAGATTCAGATCCATAGGTCATTAGAACACCAACATGTGGTTAAGTTCCACCATCACTTTGAAGACAAGTATAATATATACATTCTCTTAGAAATTTGCAAATAATAAAAGTCTCAATGATTTAGTCAAAAGGAGGAAAAGATTAAAGGAAGTTGAAGCGAAGTGATATATAGGTAGGCTTAGTCATTCTTCATGCGAGCTGATGTCTTTACAACCTTATTCTCGCCTTTTTGACTTAACTTATAGCTCAGATAATCTCAGGCATGAAATATATGAACAACAGAAATGTTATACACAGAGATTTAAAACTAGGAAATCTCTTTTTAAATGAGAAAATGGAAGTTAAAATTGGAGATTTCGGCCTTGCAGCCAAAGTAGTATTTGATGGGGAGAAGAAACGCACTATCTGAGGTACCCCTAACTATATCGCCCCTGAAGTCCTAAGCTCAAGAGTGGGACACTCTTATGAAGTTGATTTATGGTCACTTGGAGTCATCACGTTTACAATGCTTTTTGGTAGGCCTCCTTTTGAGACAAGAGACGTAAAATTAACATATCGAAAAATCAAGAGCAATAATTATTCATTCCCAAGCCATGTGATTGTAAGTGACGAAAGTAAAGATTTCATCAAATCTTTATTAAAAACTGATCCCAAGAGTAGGCTAGGTTTGGATAAAATAATGGATCATGAATTTTTGCAAAACTATCCAGAGCTGCTCCCAGCTTCAACGCTTTCTTGCCCTCCATCAAGATCATACATATCCCAGTTTGTATGTAGTGGAGACACTGCGCCTAAGCCAGGGAATTCTCCATGTAAAGCTCCGAATGCCAAAGATATTGCAACCTTCGAATGAGATCTCGCTGATAACGAGGATGCCCAAATTATGAGTAATAGACAAGCATCTCTACAATCTCACAGAAGGATGGAGAGCCAAGACCGATTCATCAAAACTAGCCGACCCAAAGAAGCAATGAGCAACGAGAGAGATTATGTCCTTAAGACAGAGAGAGGGTTGATAAAACGAAACTTCCAGTTAGAAACTCCTTCTAAGAAAAGCCCAGCTAGAAATGCCAATTATTGAAAAATTAACTTGACCAAAGGAGAAAACAGTCAAGATAAAGTTTCTACTAAAAATAATCTGGCAAGAAGAAAATCTGGGTATCTGGAAGGGTCTCCTTGAAGCAAGAACTATAAAACAGAAAGAGGTGAGAAACTTCATGAAAGTGGTTCTAAGAAAACTAAATCATCAATATCGATCCAAAAAGCATCAAGACTTGGTCCAGAAGCATGTGGAAAAATACTGATCGCAAAATGGATCGATTACTCAAGCAAGTACGGAGTAGGGTACAAACTATCTAGTGGAGTTTATGGTGTTCTGTTCAATGACTCCACCAAAATCGTTCTTTCAAAAGATGAATACCAGTTTTACTATCTCAAAAGAGAGATTAGCTCCAAGAACATCGACGATAGCTACATTCCTGTATACAATTTCAGCTCTTACCCAGACGAATTGAAGAAGAAGGTTATCCTGACTCAGCATTTCATTAGCTATTTATTAGGTCAAAAATTTATCCCAGCATCCTCAAAGCCTGCAAACTTTGAGGAAGATTTCGGCTACACCTCTGATCATGTATTTTTAAAATAAAATCTCTCTTGAAAACAAAGCTATACTATTCAGACTGAACAACAAAATGATCCAAATAATCTTCTTAGACAAGAGTGAGTTAATCTCAGGATCTGACAACGGCCACGTGACCTTCATCACCTCCAAAGGAGAGGTCAAGAAGACCACGGTCCTCAGTGACATGAAGGGGTTCGCCTCTCTCGAAAGCACTGATCCTTCCCTCTTCAAACGACTCAATTACGCCAAAGGAATGCTGATGAACCTGATCCACCCTAAGAAGCCAGAGGGGGCAAAGACTGCTAAAGCTAGAGAGAAGATTTTCTTAAGGTCTGAAACTAAGGAAAACAAACTGATGTTCTCTCGTAAATAACTCTAGGTATAAAAACTCAGAGAATAATTCATCAGAGAGATGAATCGACTTTTACTCAAATCAAAACTATGATTCTAGGCCAAGAGACAGTAAGCCTCCTAATCTAATAACTTAGGCTCAAATCGGGATGAAAAATATGACAAAATAGGCAAAATTGTAAGAGGAGCAGCAGACGAAATCAGGAAGAAGCTGTCATCCTACAACACTTACGATCACACTAAATCAGACCACAGACGACTGTCTTATAAGAAAAGCTTGAAAAGTGAAGAGAAAGAGCCTAATGGCTTAGGCAGATCTCCTAACGGTAAACGAATTGTTAGTATACCAAGAGCAAATTTCGCATTAAACACACAGAGAACTTCTGATCGAAAGGTCAGGCCTAACAGTAGGTATCAACAGAAAGGAGGGCTATTACCTTCGAAGACACCTAAGATTGACTTTAAATTGTCTCAAAATAATTCCAGATATGGGAGAGATGACTCCCAGAAAGGATATCACAGCAATAGAGGTCATAGCGGGACTGATTACAGGTCATTCAAAAGAGAACAAAGGCTAGATACTAAGTGCGGTACAAACCGGGTATTATCTGGTGCTGGATATTACAATTCCAGGAGATAGCCTCTTGTAAAATTCGTAGTTTAACATACTTTTCTAAACAATATTTTTAGATATGCAATTAGACTCAACACTCAGTGCGATTTGGGGTTTTGGGGTTTTGGGGTTTTGGGGTTTTGGGG